CCGCCCATCCCACCTCTCAAGGATGCAAGAGAGGGGTGCCTGCCCAGGAACAGGGTCTGGACCAGAAGGCACGGGAGAACTCAGGTTTTCCAGCCGTCCTGTCCGCGTTGCAGCATTGGTGCGGGCGATGGTGGTGCAGTCCGCCGTCCCAGAGACAGTTCTGAACCACCTGAGGGCTGGAGCAGTGCCCCCTCCCTACCCTGGCCCCAGTCAGAGGCCGGATCCTTTCCATTGGCCCAGCCCCAGCTAAAATGCACTTTGGAATCACACAAACCAGCATTCAAATCCCAGTTCCATGACTTATTAAGCCAAATTCTTACCACCCATGAGCCTCAGCTCTCTCACCTGTGCAATGGGAACCATCGTGCCTTTTGCTCAGACGTGTGGCGAGAACTCAGTAGGATAACGTCTTTGAGGTGCATGGCCCAGCGCCGGGCACACGTGGCTCTGTGGTGGAAGGCCCCTGCTGGGGCGGTCACATCTGATGAGGGGATACTTCTCAAAGCCTCCTGGCCTCCGGGAAGCTCCCGCCTCAGGGCTCTCCAGGGCTCAGCAGCCACAGCTAAGGCCTCGCTGCTGGCTCCACGACCTCGCCACGCTGCTCACCATCCATTGGCTGGACCGTTGGAGCCACTGAAGACGCTGTCGCTCTTCCCCGAACAAGGACAAGCCTGGGTTTTTATAACATAATTTTCATTTTTCTTCCCCAAGGACTTTCCCACGCCGAGAGCTGCCTAGTTGGCCCTCCTGTGCCCCAGCCTGGAATTGTGGTGGAGCCGAAAGCTATTCTGAGATCCTTTTTAGCCTCACAGCTATTTCAGGCTCCGGCGTAGACATGTGGAGGGAACCCAGTGCTCTCTGCCCATGTCTCAGCCCCAGCGTCCAAGACTGGTTCTTTCATGCTCCTGACACCCTCCGATCCCGGAGGTGGTGGCTGGGATGGAGCAGGAAGGGGCACGCACGTGCCACCCAGCCCACAGCTGAGCTAGAGAGGGTCCAGAAGGGTTAGGTCTAGGGGTTGAGACTGAGCCCCAGAGAGGCAGGCAGGGGTGCACCCCCACCCCATGAGCTGGCCGACTGGCAGGGGGTTGGGGGGCTGCCCCGTGTGGACCTGCAGCTTCCAGTCCTAGCCAAGTGAAGGAGCTCGCCTCCGCCTGCTGAGTTCTCAGCGGGTGTCCCTCCTTCTGGGCCAGCGTTCATTCACTTTTGCCACAAGTGTTACTGGGTGCCTGCTGTATGCCAGGCACTGTCCTAGGCTCCGGAGGCACAACTGTGGACAAAACAGACAAAACCCCCTGCTCTCGTGGAGCTTTCATTTAACAGATATCATCCTGACGAACTTGCACTGGCCTTCACAGTTTGCAAGGCACTTTCCGAAGAGATAACCCTATTGGATTCTCTGCATTAACACAATATATGTTGTTCTCTAATCGCCTGTTCCCATCTCATTCTCCCAGTAATTCTCCAAGTTAGACGCCATGCCGCCATCCTGCTGACAAGGAGACCGAGACTCCAGAAGAGTCACTAAACTGTGTGCGGCCCACACAGCCAGGAAGTGGCAGAGCGACTTTAGGGCCTACGCCAGATCGTGGGCACGGAGAAGCTGGCAGCATCCACTCACGGAGAAGCTGGCAGCATCCCCTCACAGAGAAGCTGGCAGCATCCCCTCACTGAGAAGCTGGCAGCATCTACTCACAGATGCTCAGGCTCCGTGAGACGCAGAGGCCAGAGGTGAGTCCTGTGGGATAACGTGGCGTCCACGGTGGAGGCGACTTGCGTTTGCCCCACGCAGGGCTCCCTCCACCCCAGCCCACGTGAATGGAGAACGGGGCTCTGCCCAAGTGCGTGTGGGCTCCTGGGCACTCTGGGCACCGTGGGGCAACCCGCCCCAGGGCTGGGCACTGACAGTCCCGCGGCCCTTCCCGTCTGTCCGCGAGGAATCCTCCTCGTAACTTGCCCACCTGCATCCCACCCGGGAATCTTTTCCCCCAACACAACCCTGCCCTACGAGGCTCTGGTTTGCTTTTTTGTGCCCCCAAAACCAACATATCCCAGACGGGTGTGGTGCCTCTTCTGCCCGCACATCTGATGCATTGCTTAGACCTGTCTCGTGCCTGTCTATACCATCGTCTGGCTGACAGTGGTCGGCAAACTCATTGGTCAACAGAGCCAAATATCAACAGTACTTCTTCAAAATAGACTTGCTCGGCCGAAAACCGACTTCAGCGCATGGGCCATGAAGTTTCAATCACACTGTACGCATGCCCGCATGTATTTTGTGGAAGAGCCACACTCAAGGGGCCAAAGAGCTGCATGTGGCTCGCGAGCCACAGTTTGCCGACCACGGGTCTAGCACATTACTGCCCCTCGAGGGGCTCGGCCAGTGGTCACGGAGCGCGTGTTGAAGGAATTGGTGACTTCTAGCCCGTCTTAGTTGCATGGAGAGACTGGGCTGGTTATTATGTGGCCACAGCTGCCTCACAAAAGAGAATGGTTTCTCTTCATTTTTCCTCCCGTCCATATTTGTGGCCTCCAAGCATTATTGCTTGAAGGCGTTTCTGGAGGCTTTGGGGCCCTGGCCCCCCTGAGCTGGACGCCGAGTGTGAGATGGCTGGGGGTCTGTGCAAGCTGAGGCGTCTTGGTGTCTTAGCCACACTGCCCACCTGCTAACGAAACTGATAATTTGGGGATGGCCAGGAGGACCCAGAGGAAGGTGCCTCGGGGCCATGGAAGATGCCAAGATAATGCACGTGTGTGTGGCTCGCGGCTTGGTTCTCTGTGAGGCTGCTCCGTCCCAGGAGACCAACTGCGACAATCAGTTGCACCTGTCATTGGGGTGGCCCCTGGGGTTGGCTCTCCTAGGGGGGGTCTGCCGGGCCGCAAGGAGATTGCTGCTCAAACAGCTCCCCCTGAGCGTCCCTTGCACAGACCCCACTCGGAGGGCAAACAGCCAAGGAAAACACACCTGTGGACTCTCCAGCACCACGGTTTGGTTGGGTAATCTCTTTACCGTAAACCTCTGGTCCCTCCCCACTTGATAAAAGTCTATTTTTGTCTACAATTCTACTTTAGGGCCATCCTCATCTGACTGGTGGCCTGAGGGCTAACTAAGGTCAACGGGTTATTTTTTTTTTTTGGTTCAGAACACAATTTTTTTTTTAAATGAAATGCTTTCAGGCGGGATAAGCCTTTTCCAGTTGTCCCGGTTCCCACTGGCCCCTCCCATGTTGCACAGAGTGTGTTAGGAGCAGGCAAGTGGCTGGGAGCATGGCCACACCACCTGTGTCTGAGTCCAGGGTCCACCCCTCACCTCTCTGTCCTCCCGCCTTTTCACCTGCAAAGTGGAAATAATAACAACTATCTCATAGGTGAGTTGTGAGGATGACTGCCTTAATACATCTAAGTGTTTGGTACAGTGCCTGGCCTTGGGTTATACAGTGAGTATTGACTGGGCATGTACTATGGCCAGTAGTATGGGGGATACATCAGGGAACAAAACAGACAAATCTTTGCCCTTACAGCACCCACATGGGGGCAGAGCGGGGGACAGAAAATGAAAAAGTAGATTATAGCCCTGGCCAAGAGGCTTTGTTGGTTGGAGCATTGTTCTGTGCAACAAAAGGTTGTGGGTTCAATCCCCAGTCAGAGCACACAGAGGAGGCATCCGATCCAAGTTTCTCTCTCACAATGATGTTTCTCTCTCTCTCTCTCTCTCTAAAAACCAGTGGAAACATATCCTCAGGTGAGGATTTCTTTAAGTGGATTATATAGTAAACATCATGGCAAATGCTATGGAGGAAGATACATCAGGGAATGGGGTGGAGAACGCTGGGGTTGCAATTCGAAAAGGCTAGTCAGGGAGACCCCGCTGAGAAGAGGCCTCCACAAGACTCCAGGAAGGTGAGCGAGAGCCAAGTGGAGCTCGGGGTCGGCTATTTTTATTACGACCTGTCTGGTCCCCTGAGGCCTTTGAGTTTGTGACACTGCTATTCGCTTCTGTGGACAGAGACTGTGGAAACCGGTCAGTGGTTCTGATCTTGATTGGAAAAAGGCAAGGGCGGTGGGCTGTGGATAGGAGCATGGACAGCCCCAAAGAAATAGCCTGAGTGTTGTGTCTATCTCCTCTTCTTGAGGGAGGGCCGGGCATCATGCCCCCTGGCCTGGGCTTGACCGGTGCCATCTATTACTACTAATGAGGGCCCGTGTGCAGGCGGAAGAGCAGTAGTCCTGGACTGCGGGCTGGAAAAGAGCGAGAAAGAGTGATGGAGAGGGCAGGGTGGACACAGCCAAAGGCCCCGTGTTTCTGGTTGAGCTGATGATCCTGGGCCAAAGGCTGGGAGCCGTGAAGGGAGCTCTGTTTCCAGCTCATTAGAAACATCAGTGGTTTGACTGCAAGGCCAGCTCCTGATGGGATGCACATCTAAGCAGATGGAGACATTTCTGCCCGAGTTGCTATTTTAACAGGCAACAATTTGTGTGCCCACCAGGAAACCAGGTTTGGTATGAAAATAGAGCCTTTCCCTGGCGTCTTGTATTTGGGGAGCAGCAGTAGCTGGCTTCCGGTCCGTGCTGTTCTGGTGTAGAAAACAAGGCCCCAGAGGAGGGTGTGGGGGAGGGGGAGGGACCCACGACTGCCAAGGCTGCTGCTTTTTTTTTTTTTTTTCTTTTTCAGGCACAAGAGAAGCAGGAGGAATAAGGAGGCTGACCATCCCTGCCTCGAGTGGTGACTGTCGGAATTACAGGAGATGTCCCACAGAAAGGTGTGGTTCCCTTCTCCTCCCCTCGGACCCCACACACAGCAGAGGAACCCCTTCTCTGGGATAGGCAAGCCTTGAGGGGGGTTGGGGGAGGCAGAGGGATAGAGGCAACCCAGCCTGGAGCTGCAGGGAGGTCTGTGGGATCCTCTGGCAGGGCCAGTCCCCTGAACCCCACTCTGAGGATGAGACCTATAACTGGGAGCAGAGTGAGCAGGGAAAAGGGGGCGGGGAGGATGTTTCACATCCTGGCTGGCAGTGGCTTTCCCATCTTTCCTTTCCTCCTCTGCCTCTGGCCCTGCCTTGTGTAAAAATGTCACCGGGCTATTATCCAAAAGATCCCATTATTTCTCAATGCCTACCTGCGTCAGGAGCTGTGCCTGCTTACAGGAACTGCAAAGGGTCCCCCACTGCGAACCAAGAGGGCGGGGCGCAAAGCCCCAGGTGCGGAGCGCACAGCCCAAGAAGGTCATGGGGCCTCCTGTGCAGAAGGGCCCCAAAGAATGTGATCGCTCCAGTCCGGGCCGGAGAAGGTGCCCCTAGCGCGCGAGCTCCCCTGTCTCCACTCCTGGGCCAGCGTCTCCCTTCTGCTCTGCTTTAGCGAATTGTCTCATTCTGTTGGCGCCGAGGGCCCTGGGCAGAAGGACCTTGGTTTGGGTCCCCAGCCCGGAAGGGTCAGTAATGAAGACAGTTGTCCCAGGTGTAGACGCTGAGCCTGCCTCTAAGGTGCACGGGAGGTTTACTGGAATGATTCCGGGCCTCTCACATGATCCAGGGAAGCTGTGGGAAGGGCAGAGCAGGACAGCTCTTGAACTCCAGAGCAGTTCATGCACTTGGACTCTGCTGTGGTTCATAACCCAGCTCAGCGTCCATGTCTCTAACCCCCATGTCCCTCAGCCCCCAGGTCACATTGCAGGACGACTGGTCCCCGTCGGGTCAGGTATGTGCCTCAGATCAACCCGTCAGTGACTTACCTGGCATAGTAGATACTTGGAGTAGATCTTTTTATTTATTTTTGTTACGCCTCACCTGAGGATATTTTTTCCATTGATTTTTAGAGAGAATGGAAGGGAGTGAGGGAGGGGGGGGGGGGGGGGAGAGTTTTTTTTTGTGTGAGAGAGAGAGAGAGAGAGAGAGAGAGAAACATCAATGTGAGAGAGAGAGACATGAACTGGTTGCCTCCCACAGTTACCCAAATGGGGAGGGGGAGCTGGGGGGGGACTGACCCTGCAACTCAGTTCTGTGCCCTTGGCAAGAAATTGAACCCGTACCCAAGACCCTTCTGCGTGAGGGCCAACACTCTACCCACTGAGCACACCAGGCCAGGGTGGAGTGGATCATTTTTAACATCCTCCTCAACAAAGATATCTTCAGTAATAATCATGAAATACAGCTAGTAATAGTAATAGCATAAAAGAAGCACAGTGAAAAAGGTTTATTATTGAGCTTTGTACGTGAATTCATGCTAATAAAATGTAATTTTAAAAGCAAGATGCAAACGAAAATACCTACTGCAGTATAATAAAAGAAAAAAGGTAATGAAATAGTACTCTTTATTACATTACTGTGCTTTTTGGAAAAAAGGAAAATAAATTAGTACTTGCATATTGGTCTGTCACCAGTGATGAGTAATAATATTTCAGTATTTGTTTTCAGTTGCAACTTTCGTATACTTGTAAGTTATTTTGTCAAAAATTAATATTTGCATATTCATGTTCAACAGGCAGTATAAGATAGATCCATCTATCTTTGCTCGTGGTTGACCAAACAACAGTTTTTATTAATTTTAATTTAAAATTTTTATTTCATATGAAGTAATACACAAAATAAGGATAAATTGAGCAAAGATTCCCAAAACTCCCATTTCACAATAAATTCAAAGAATTGCAATACTATTCGTGTCTTAGGTATTAATTCCAGGAGCTTTCAAATTTGACACAGTTGAAAATTCTCTAGTAAAATAGAAATGTCATTAACATCTTAATCATTTTTCGTTAAATCTCCCAAAGTTCTTGTTTTACAGAAATCAGAGGAAATGTCTGAATAATAGCAAACATTAACGCTATTTGACCCATTCATTGCTTTATATCAGGCATCCCGTTCTTGGTGGTCAGGATCAAGCCATTCAAACATGGCCCCTTGGATTTCTCCTATCTCGTAAGCCCAACATCTTTCCTCTTGGCTTTCACGACAGGACAGAATTAAAGTAATTCAAGTTCTGTTTCTTCATGTTGGTAATCACTGTGCTATTATTGCTTCTTTCGAGTCTAGGTAAGGAGTTGGTAGCACTACAGAGCTGGGCACATAAAGTGGGCGTGAATGATTCCCAACTGTTGAGGACGTCCTGGAAGCAAGCTGTGTGGCTGAGTCTGCGTACTGCGTGACGGAGCAAGCGGGAGTTCTGCAGTTAGCTTTCATGTAGAATGGGAGCTCTAACGGTAAGTAATAAAAATGTGCTAATTGGAAGCTAGATACATATGATTAAAACACAGCAGCAGTGTGGCAGTTGTTTAGAACTTAGGCCAACAAAGGATTTTTTTCAGGAAGGGGCTCTTTATCGTGGACGTTGTTTAGCATTGCCAGCACATGGTGGTAATAAAAAGCACATTGACTTCTGGTTAGTTATATTATTGCTTTTAAATTCTGTACCGACTTCCTCATTGCTGGCACCCAGGAAGGTTTCTCCCCTTGCCCAGCCTTTGGCACACCACCGCATGCAGCTACTGGTGCTGGTGGAGCGTGTTGGTGGGTGATAGAGACAAAGACGTCATGGCCCACCCTGAGTTTTAGGGGCTGTACTCAGAGAAGGGGGCGCTGTTATGACTTAGGCAACTGCTCCACGTGGTGTCCATTACATTCTCCCCCTTAGTTGCTTAGCATAGAACACACACACAGAGTTCACTTCAACCCATATGTCCTGCTGCCCAGCATGATCTGACATGCCCACATACAACCACAAATGCCAAGGGCTCTGAGCAAAGTTACGTTAGCTACTGCGTCCAAGGGGATGCCACGGAGCCATGTTCTCCATTCCTTCTCTAGTCAGATTGAGATCCCATCTGATATTCATCAGACTAACAAACAAAGCCAGTAATAACACACCCCATCCTCAAAGTCTACACCAGCAGGATTTCTCTCATCTTCGCAGTAATCCTCAGCCAGTTCTTGTGTAGACTTCTCTCTTCTCTACATTAATCCCACATAACCCCCTCCAGACCACAGGGAGTTCAAACGCTTGCCATCGAGTGGGCCTTGCTAGCGGGGAGCCCAGGAGAGTGGATGGTTGGGTTCCTCCAGTGGGTGGGAGTGGGTTGCAGTGAGGAATGTTCCAGAGAGTCTTGAAGGCTGGGGTACACCAGTCCCTCTACAGTTCCTCCTGTATGTCACAGCTTCCTCTGCCAGGATCCCATTTTTCCCTGATCATGTACGAAACTAGTGAGTTCATAAATGCAATCGCCTGAAGTGTCAGTTTCTGAACGTGGTTTTCAGTGATTTCAGACCAATAGCGAGTGGGATCATATTAAGACCTTGGCTTTGGACTTAGGCCTACAGGGAAGACCTCCGGGACGGAGTTTGCTGTTCCCTTACAGTAGGTGTTCCGACGCACTCAGAAGCATCGCTGTCTGAGACAAGCAAAACTGGAAGAGGAGAATCACATCGCAGGCCCACAGTCAAACAAACAGTCTCTCAGTACTGTCCCCACCCAACTCCACGTTCTCTCTCCCCGGATTTTCCCCTGAAGCTTGCTCTTTTTAGAGTAGTACGGGCAGATTTAGAGTATCTACAGTCTGCCTTTGAGTAAAGACAGCCCATTTTCAAGAGGAAGAAAAAGGATTCAGGCTTTGGAGACAATGTTGGGGCTTAAATCTCACATTATTAATTTTTACCTGTGTTCTTTCTCTGTGCCTCAGTTTTCCATCTGTAAATGAGGATAATAGTTCTTATCTTTTAGGGTTATTAAAGAGCACTTGGCACATATGAGTACTCAATACACATTAGCTCTCATTTTTATTGGGCATCTAATTATTGGGTACTCACTATGTGACAGTCAGTGTGTGTGTGTGTGTGTACACACAGTGTATATATAGACACCCACACACCATGTAATATTTCTTTGCTCATCAAGGTAGGTACATAGTCTGTTTTATTTACTGCTGGGTCTTGGTATCACAATGCCTTGGCATAGAACGCACCCAAAAACATTATTTGAGTAAATAAATGTTTCGAGAAATCCCTAAACCAGGGGTGGGCAAACTTTTTGACTCGAGGGCCACAATGGGTTCTTAAACTGGACCGGAGGGCCAGAACAAAAGCATGGATGGAGTGTTTGTGTGAACTAATATAAATTCAAAGTAAACATCATTACATAAAAGGGTACGGTCTTTTTTCTTTTTTTAGTTTTATTCATTTCAAACGGGCCGGATCCAGCCCGCGGGCCGTAGTTTGCCCACGGCTGCCCTAAACAGACACATATATGTGCGCACACACATATGATTACAGAGCATCCAATTTCAGGAAATATTTCAGTATACAAACTCTGAGGTTTCAAGAGAAGAGATTAACTCAGCAACTTGGAAGGACTCGAGGAGGGAGTGGGAAGTTGTCCCCAGTGAGGAGATAATGCAGAGGAGGAGGAGAGAGAGAGGAAGTCCTGGGAATCTGGACTGTTAGCACCAGATTGGCTGGCCACCCCTAATGGGCCCCTGACTCGGGCCCCCAGGGGAGGCTGCCCTGATTCTCAGGGTTTTCGCCAGGGTGGGGGGTGCAGGTTTCCAGCGCTTCCTCTGGACCATGTGTCTAGTGAAACAGTAGTTGCTTCCCTCTAGACATCCAGAAGCTGCTTTTCTATTTAGGCCAGTCCGCTCAGTGTTCCAGAGCCCTGGGGGTTGCTTTTAATGACAATTCCCGGGCATTCTGTCATTTGCTGAGTCACTGCTTAAGCACATTCCTGCAAAGGAGTCTGGGACTCCCCTGACTAAAGCAACAGCTCAAACTCACCGCAGCTGATCTCCAGGGTTATTCCTGCCAGGTGAGCTTCCCACTTCCCATCTGGCGCAGACCTTTGTCCGTGTGCTTTTCCCAGGATTCACAGGCTGCCGTGACCTTCAGCGGGAGCACTCCACAGTCCTGCTCAGCTTCTCCTAGGACCGTGGTCGGCAAACTGCGGCTCACGAGCCACATGCGGCTCTTTGGTCCCTTGAGTGTGCCTCTTCCACAAAATACCACTTGCGGGCGCGCGTACAGTTGAAACTTCGTGGCCCATGCGCAGAAGTCGGTTTTCGGCCTGGGCGAGTCTATTCTGAAGAAGTACTGTTGATATTTGGCTCTGTTGACTAATGAGTTTGCCGACCACTATCCTAGGACCTTCTGCCCGTCCGCTTCTGCCGGGGTTCTTGTTCCAGCATTAAGAAGGGTTCAGCAATCTGGAGAAGGCTGTGCATGGATTAATAAAGAGTCCAGAGACAAAATATAATTTTGAAAGGCATTTGGGGGTCAGAGGAGCTTAGCTTAAAGGAAACAAAGATCTAAGTTTCTAAAGTCTAAGATCTAAGGCAGCCGTGGGCAAACTACGGCCCGCGGGCCGGATACGGCCCATTTGAAATGAATAAAACTAAAAAAATGTAATGATGTTTACTTTGAATTTATATTAGTTCACACAAACACTCCATCCATGCTTTTGTTCCGGCCCTCCGGTCCAGTTTAACAACCCATTGTGGCCCTCGAGTCAAAAAGTTTGCCCACCCCTGATCTAAGGTCTTAGGTCTAAGGTCTCCTTGCCTCAGTGCCCCATGGTTTTTATTAACACAACTTGTCCTGAGGCAAGGCAGAGATATACACTTCAAAGGGTATACACAAGCATTGTCAGAATGGGGGAATTAGACTATGGCAGGTGTTTGGCCAGTAGGAGGCAATAACATGTAGATTAAGATGCCCTTTAGCTGTCTGGCAGCCAACAATCATCCCTTTTCAGGTTTGGGGAAATGCCATCAGCCATTCCCAACAGGTGACTACATATGTGACTCAACCCTGTTGAGTCCCCAAGTTCCATCAACCTTTTGATGAAACTCTTGAAATTATGACATGCTAGAATTGGCTTCCCGCAACTTCTCCATCCTAGTTTCTGGAGACAGGCCAAGCCTGAGCACTCGAACCAAAGAATGCGAGGGGCTGGTGGGGATCACTTCTTTCTATCTGCTCTCTAGAGAAACAGCAGGCACCCACATAAAGTGGAGTTTAGCAATCTCACACTAAGCCACAAAGCCTTAATAACGTAGTCCTCCTCATTTGGGAATTTTTAAGGCTTAGAGGTATTCAGGATAATTCTACTAGTTTGGCATATGGTTGATGTAGACAGAAAGCTCTTTATCCATTAATCAGTACACTACTTGAGCAGCAAGCTTTCATCCAACAGCAATAAATAAGCAAATTACAAATGGCTTTATATAGTTAGAAATGATGGGCCTGCAAAATGAGCCCATTCATTTAAGCATTCGGTCATCAAAAATATAGTGAGAACTTGCTTGCTATGTGGAAGGCTGCTAGGCAAGTGGGAAATAGTGAGACAAATTATGAGGGAACAAATATTGATTTTGCTGCACATAATCTTGGGTGCTTTGCCAATCTTTGCATTTACACTTTGCAACAACTTTGTAAAGTAATGTGGCAAAAAAACTGGTACTTGTCCCCTCCATATTCATTCTTCCAAAATATTTCTTAATAGGATGATGGAAGAATCAGATACTCAGATCTGGTAAATAGTTCCTAAGCCTCCCTTGCAGCTAGGTGTGGTCATGTGACTAAGTTCTAGTTGACAGGATTGGCACTAAAGTGATATGTGCAATTTTGAGGTGAAGCCCTTACTAAGGGAGCTATTTCCTCTCTCCTCCACCTTCCCAGGAACTGGAAATAGATGTGGCTTAGGGCTGGTGAGTAAGCTTTAGTTCACCTGCACAGCATTAGAGTAATGAGGCAAAAAGAACCTGGGTCTCTGGCTGGCTTCAAAGAACAGTTTCCTACCTGTCCTCAACCATCTGCCCACCAATGGGTCATTACATAAAAGGACAATAAATTTCTATCTTATTAGAGTTGTTCTACTTGGAAGGAAAATAAGGAAGTTAAGCAAATTTTCTAAGATCACTGAAGTACTACATGACAGACTCAGGTCTGATGTGTTCTGCTACCTCATGCCACTGGCCCTAACGTAAGCAGAGAGCCTCGGTTGTGAAACCCCTGGGTTTCTCAAGAAAAGCAGTTGTCCTGCCAAGATTTTAGTGGGTCATCTTGGGAAAAGCTCGATGCAAAAGATGAGGCCAGCACTCCCTGAATGCCTGCTAGTGCCAGACATCCTGATGTGCCCCTTACATACGCTGTAGAATGAAGACCCAGATGTCACTCTCAAAATGTGCACAATCTCGGACGACATGTGCTTAAATGACAGTGAGTTCTACACAAGAAAGAGCAAAATAAGGGCTAAGTGGGTGGAGAGCGTGGAAACTGTGTGTCTGGCTGCACAGGATCAGGAGCAGCTTCAAGGAGGAGGGGGCACTGAGCTTGGGCTTGCAGAACAGGTGGCATTAGGGAGACAGAGCATCGCACGTAGAGAGAGAGGAGCGTGAACAATGGACAAGAAGCTGGGCAGCACCAGAAGCTGTCCCTCAGTGTGGCCGGAACGGCAGATCCATGAGGGGTGACAATGACAGGTGGGCTGGGTCAGATTAGGGCGGGCTTCAGAGGGCAGGCCAAAGAGCTCAGACTTCATGTGTAGGGTCCAGGGTGCCTGTAGGGTTCTGAATAAGATGGTAGAAAATTCAGAATTTGGGGACTATTTCCTAAGCCCCTCCTGGACCCCAGGCACTGAATAAAGATGAATCCGTCTGCAATGTGGATGGCAGTGACACTGTGGAGGAGGCAAGGCCAGACAGGAAACCAGGAGGCCAGCTAGGAGGCTAAGTAGGGAGGCAGCAGCGGGGGGGAGAGAAGAGGGGGGACGGATGTAAGAGACGTAGGGAGGGCAGCACCCACAACGCTGGGCACTGGGAGTGGGAAGCAAGGGAGAGAGAGGAGCCTGTGACAACTAGGAGGTTTGTTTTCATCTAGACCAGTGGTTCTCAACCTTGGCTGCACATTGGAATCACCTGGGAATCTTTTTAAAATCCTGATTTCTGGGCCTCATCCTCCAGAAATTCTGTTTCCTTGTTACTAATGTTGTGGCCCCACCCCATAA